ACATGTAAATAACTTCCACCGAGAAAAAAACCTGTTTCAGTTGATACCAGAAGACTTAACATTCTTAAGACTCAACATTCTTCGCTCACTTATTTTTTTTTTTTTTTTTTATTGATCTAATCTATACTTTGCGTCGTACAGGTTTCTGTGAGCGATCCTTATTCTTTTTATTTCTCAATAAAAATTTTGATATATTTGGATTTGAAAAATTTTCAATTTTTTTTAATAGATGGTTTAAATTCGTGTAGACGCTTCTAGATATCAGATAATTATTTTTTTTATAAAAATGGCAAACAATTTTTATAAAAATAATTTTAAATTATATAAATAATTTTCATAAAAATTGTTTGCCATTTTTATGAAGAAATAATTATCTGATATCTAGAAGCACCTACGCAAATTTAAACCATCTATTAAAAAAAATTGAAAATTTTTCAAATTCAAATATATCGAAAATTTCATTGAACAATTTATCGTGGAGCGCGACTGGTGCTGTATCTCTCTTCTCTTCTTGAGCAAATTAATCATGCAGAAAATAATCGTGCAGGAAATAAGTACATACATATACGCCTATATCGCATGTCTACGTAATGACATTTAATAATCCGCCGATAACGGAGTCTCAGGAAGTCCGGCAAGTTTTGAGAACGTAATTCCTCGTGCGCAAAATTTTCCTGACAAATGTTTCTGTCTTTGATCGAGTAATTTCTGTGCGCACTTTTCTTTGTCCCGCGTTGTGTGCACAGCTCAAAACTACATCCTAATCATTTTCTTTCGCGTGAAAATGCATCGCACATCGGCATCGAACGATTTCGCAGATAATGATGGTGAAACGGAAAGTGCGAATTCCGAAAGACCTCGGGGTAAAGTTTCACCTGTTGAGATTCTCCTCGGCAATGAGAGAACACGCCGGTTTTTGTTCTGAGAGAAAATTTCGTAAACTTACAAATCACGTTACAGAACTGCCGAAATTTGTCAGATTTTTTATATAAAATTTACTAGTTCTTATTAAAAAAATTAATCTCTCTTCTTTGAGCGCAAAAGTGCAGAAGAAATCTTTGTTTTTTTTACTTTTCGGATTATTTTATACCATATTCTCTTGTGTTGTTCGACATAAAAGCACGAATAGTTGCCGCATAAGAATCTAGTTATGTCGCGGGGGTCATCCTTTCACTAAAAGTGGAATGATCTCGTATACGTGATCGAAAGTAAAAGCGATTGACCGACTCGCGAAACCGCGTCTTCTTGGTGACGTGAACAAAACAGAAACATAAAGAAGTATAACGCCGGAATATCCTTACAAACCGATTCGCAATGGGTGGGATCGCAGTTAGCGATTAATTGCAAGTCGTGGGATAACGAAAGTGACATTGAAGAAGGAAATGAAAGCTTCTCTTTCTAAGGAAGTATCCTGTTAAAATATCGCAGACTTTCTCTGTGTTTCTGTCATCTTTTTATCATTTTTGCATCTTTATTGCCGGCAAAAATTCTGACGTGCCATTGTTCCGTCTTATCTTTCGAAGTAGAACTTTGTATTAAAATCTATAAACAGTTGAACAAGACTATGTGAAATAAGAACATGTACGCGGAAAAAAAAGTTTTGCTATTTATATGGTCAGCAAGAAATGGCAGTCTACGAAATTTTTTGTTTCATCACAACAAAATGTTTTGTTGGCAAAACAAAGATCTTAATAAACTTAGCGAATGTTTTTTTTTGCTGGTCACATAGTAAAACTAATTTCTAGCTATTCTAACAAATCGTTTTCTTCCGTGTATATGTGAAAGAGGGAGAACGACGAGTTACAATCGAATAATATTATATTTTTCGTTGTTAATTATCGTAGATAGTCCGAAGAATTTTACCGAAGGAATCTACCTTTCTTTCGGCTAGAAAAGTGAAGGAACACTCGTTGCATAACATCGCTATGAGGTACCGCATGTTCGTCGGTGAATGCACGCTTTTGATCATGCATGCCAACGAATTATGCAACCGCGTCTATATAAAATAAGAGTATCAGATACTACAGCGATTGCTAACTTGATTCTAAACTACCACCACTTGTGAGCGGGATTGAACAATTTTGCATAACTATTTATGTAAAATTCATTCGCGTAATCTAGAACACAGAATATTTCTCTGTCTCTCTCATTGATTTATTTTTTAGAAAAAAAAAAAAACTATTTTAAACATTTAGCTTGGAAAACACTTGGCAAATGGCCTTTTAACGAGTGATACTCCGTATCGTCCGTATTCACTGACGCAATTGAAACGGCGCGCAATTATCGTACATGCATGCCAAGTGCAAGTTGCCGCGAGTTTCCCACAGAGGGAAGATAAAAAAGGAGAATGTTTGTTCCAGACGAAGGTTTCCTGACTTCCTTCTGTTATAAACGCGTTCTCGATTCGCTGTTTAAACTTTGACCTTTAGAATTACAACTTGAGTGAGTTTTGTTTCTTTTATAACGAGACTTCGTGTTGTTGTTCGTATCGTGTACTTGATTTGATTCTAATTCAAATTTTCGCATGCGGATCCTAATGCGAATCATCGAACGAGAGACGCCTCGTCATTCTTGATACTAGTTCTTCAAAGTTTCTCTGAAGGCTCCGGTCGCTTTCTAGGCCTCCATTATCCGCCAGCGGAGAATGTAGACTAATTCTCGTGATCGCGCGCCAAGTATCCGCCGAGTTATTATTCGCAACGGCTACAGAGAGATTCATACGCAATTTTAGAAAATACTTAAAAAAACATTTATTTAGCTCGGCGTCATTTGCATGCGACTCTTTAATGACACTTTGAGTGTTCGCGAACTGGAATTCGTTTCGGAATGGAGCGCTAGTACGCAACTCGAGCGCAATGTTAACCGCAAAAAAGCGGCAAATACGCGTGCAAATCTGTAATTGTCTGTTCTTCGACGCGCAACTTTAATCACGCCGGTCGCTCAGAATTGGCGAGTAAACGAGCAGAGAAGCGACTAGACGCTTTCGACGAATGTCGTTTCTTAAACGCCGCTTATAAAAAAACTTAGAGATTCACTATTGCCAACGTTAGATGTATCGCACTACATTAGAAAGTTCAAAATAAATGGATGTCACATTATAAACCAATTATAAAAAAAACTTATTTAAAAAAAAAACTTTGGAATTGTAATCAATTTATCAATTCTTATTGTCGCACTTGTTGTCGCGTAAATCACCGGTGACACAAGCGAGAAATAATAACATGAGAAATGTAACTGTGAATAATCGACAAAATATTTTAAATAATATCCTGTGTCACACACAGTGCGTGTAGTCGAACTAGTTTTGTATGATTGTCGTATTGAAGCAAAAAAATCACTGACCTTGTGTGTCAGTTCATTAAGCATATCGAGCACACACATTGTATCCACTGTGTGTAAATACGATAAAATCATTTTAGCAAACGTACATGAATATACATATTGCATAATGAGATACTAGCTTAAATTTCTTTGCTCGGTTATAATAACCGTTTGGACGAAGAAAATTAGAATGTACCGCAGGTTCTTGTTGGAGAAATTCTTTGGATGTTAATGTCAATGTCAATAACGAAATCGAATGCGTGTAACTGGAACGATGCGAAACATCGTTGACGCGCAACGAAATTCCACATGCGCGGGTGACTTGCGTCATTTCACTTTTCACGGTATTTAAATCGTTAATCATTCTAGATCTTGTCTACATTTATTCATTTTAGATCTTATCGCAAATTATAAATATAAAACGAATTTTTATGAATAATGCAGTTTCATTCCTTTGCAGGCAGACTCGTACTAGTTGGACAGACTGGGTCTGTGAGACCCACGCGACTTTAAAATCGAATATCTCCGCAAAAAATCAATATTTTTTTTCAATCTTTTTATTTTTTTGGAATCTAAAGTTTGAACGATTCTGCGTCGATCAAAAAAAAAATAAAATAAATAAATAAATTGAGAAAATCTCTAGAGTAATTTCGAAGATATTAGTGTTTAAAAAAACTTAATTTTTACTAGAAACCGGTTTGAAAGTTTTGAGTGGATCTGGGAGACTCATGTCCGTCCGCGAAAGGTTATTTTAAAGTTCGCACAATTTATTTAAAAAAAAAAACTAATTTATAAACATATACATGTGCACGTAGTGAGAAAGTCACGTCCGTCCGCGAAAGGTTATTTTAAAGTTTAAACAATTTATTTAAAAAAAACTAATTTATTCAGAGAAACATACACGCGCACGTAGTGAGAAGGAAATTTGACGTTTTTTTTATTTCGAAATAAAAATAATTCCGCAAATGTATTTCCAAACAAATACAACAGATGAAAACCGCATATAAAAGACGAGATAATCATGCAAAACGCGACTATCAACCGCAAAGCTGCGTCGTTATATAAAGAAACCAGTTTAACGCAGTTATTTTGAATGTGATATATGAGCTGTTATGTGTGCGAAACGCGCGAAATGGAAACTGCAGTAGGTCGTACTTTCTCGAGGAGACGAGAGGACCTGTCCCACAACGAGTCAACGACGACAGAAGGCACCCAAAGAGAAAGGAAGATCGAACAATACTCTTCTCTTAATTACGGTCGTATCTTAATTATTTGAGTTTTTTTCTCGCTCGCACGTAAAACGCAACTCTGACTTTGGGAGCGTTGTCTTGTTGCGGACAATACTGAAATCGACAAACGGAAATTAATGTGGATAATGAATATTGGAAGTGAAATTTGAGGCTGTGTGTTATAAATTGCGCGTTACACCAGGCGCAAGCTTACACGACTGTGAAAAATCGTCGAACCTATGAAAAACCGGGTGCTGATGATAATTCGACTCTTTTCGACACGCATTGAATCGCTCCAAATTGCGTCAATTTGACTTGCTTTCGCTTTATTAGATTTCGCGTGTGTATTTCCGCAATAATCTATTGATGTCGTAGCATTAGTGAATTACTTCAGCAAAGTTATTTCGTGTAAATAACTTCGCGATAAAAATGGACCTTCTCTGATTCCAGGGTCACATTGTGCACGATCCTCGACCTCGTCTCTCGGCTTCCCAGCAAGCCCAGATTCTGAGCGATGTGCAGCAGCACCAGCAACGATATCGGCGTCCCACACAAGACGTCTCGAAAAATCAACAGGTTCTTACGTACGACAACGTGACACCCAAGTACCAGGTGCAATCCAGCACGCCGTACTCCTCTCTGACCAAGTATAAGGTCGATCGGACGAAGCAGCAACAGTTACAACAACTGTTGCAACAGCAGCAACAGGTGCAGCAGCTTCTGCAGCAACAACAACAAAAAATCGCGCAGCAACTCGGCGCAGCGAATTTCGTGAACGGTAACACACAGGTGCCGCAGCAGCAGCCGCAGCAGCAGCCGCAGCAGCCGCAGCAGTTCCATCAGCAATACCAACGATACAACAACGGCCAATACAATCAGAACAGCTTCCAGAATCGTCATCAGGATCATCTGTCGCAGCCGCTGTTCACCGATCAACAGACGCTGCAGCTGCAAGAGTATCTCGAAAAGCAGCGCGAGTTGGAGCTGCTGCAGAAGCAGCGGCAGCAGTTGCTGTACGAGCAGCAGGAATTGCGCAGACAACAGGAGCTGCTGCGATTGCAGGAGCTTCAGAAGCTCACTTCGACGACGACGACGCCGCCGCCGCCGCCGCCGCCGCCACCGCCATCGACGACAACACCTGTCGTCGTCAGCACCACGTCCCAGCCGTTGCTGCTGTCATCACCGACAGCGCGGCGAATCACGCCATCAGAAGCGGAACTCTTTCTCAAAGCGATCGCTAACCATCAGAAGAAGTACACAACGCCAAGTACGACCGTCCCGACAACGACGACACAGCTGCCTCCGTCAACCAGACGTACGGTGACCTCTAAGACTTACCAAGAGACGCCGGACGTACCGGAGAACTTGCTCGATCTACTTCAGAATCAAGAAAATCGACTGGTGCAACAAGGCAAACCGAAACCGCAAATCAAGGTGATTTATCAAACCGAGAAACCCACGAAACAGAGTTCCAACGCTAGAAGCACGAGTTCTCAACAATCCGAGAGGGAACTGTTACTGAAGCAACTCAGACTCGCTTTGGCTCAGTCCAGCGATGACGACGATACCGTCAGGAATGTCACTACCAGGGACCTGGTGCTGCCGAACGGTAAGAAGATTCAGGTGATCCACGCGCCGAACGGTTTGTCTTCGATCGTGCCATCGATCGGAACGAGCGCTCAGACCACGGCCACTCAGCCGTCCTCGACAACGACCATCAAACCGCCGAAGGCCATCTTCGAGGAGCTAACGAAGGACGGTGTGTTGCCGCCCGGCGCCGATTTCGAAATCATCCGGCAGAAAAGCGACGGTAAACTCGAGGAAGTCGGCAAGACGCCAATCATCCAGAATCTCCCGGCAAAGAAGGTCACTTTTGTCTTGCTGGAAGAGCAGCCGGACGGCAGTTACAAGGTGCAGGGTGTCAAGGGCAATGACAAGGAGAGCGGTACCGATGTCGAGTCTATCGTCGAGCGGATCAAGAAGGGCGAGCTGAAACTACCACCTAGCTCGCTCAGTCCGACAACTCAGGCTACCACGCTTGAGAACTTCGAGTCCAGTATCGATCCGAATCTGGTGGTGTCCACCACCGGTACATCATCCGGAACACCATTGTCGTCTTTTCATCCTGTCAGTACGACGGCGAACTTCAGACCGACTACCGTTAGATCCACGTCGGTCAGAAACAGCGAAAGGTGACTACAATTTTTACAAATTTGCACTTTAGTCTCAGTCTAAATGATTTGGTTTGTGAGGAAATAAGATAATATTAATATTTTATTAAAAATAATTAGTTATAAAAACTATACAATTACAGTAAATCGACAACTGATTACTTCCCCTACGTTACGGTATCGCCCAACTCGGTGTCCACGACCGACAAGTACGTGACCTCGGCGTCCAGCGTCACCGGCCACGTGTTCAACACTCTCAGCACCAGCGGCTCGACAAAGACGAGCCTGTCGGATCACGTATCGCGAACCACGAAATATCCCTCGTCCACCAGGAGCCAGTTCATTCCGACGATGGCGCCGGTGAACGAGATTGTGACCACGCCAGCGACGACACCGACGACTTTCTCGCATTCCACAACCACCTCTTACATCCATTTCTCCAGAAATCCGACCGAGGCTTCGTCGACGTTGAGAGTATCACCTCATATCGGCAACACCTTACAGTCCAATTTGCAGAACGAGAATGTCGTCCAGAGCGATTACGAGGGTACCACCGCATTGACCCCAACGGAGACTTCGGGGAGTTACTCGACGCAAGAAGATCTGGCTATGTTGCTGAGAAGAGAGGGTCTCTTCGCGATGGCCAAGTATCTGAGGCAGTCGGGATTAGATAATGTGTTGAACGAGACTGGTAAATTGATTGATTTATTTTATGCAATTTGATTTGATAAAAGTAGAGATATCAGAGTTTATTCGACTTTAACGGCATACTGAAACAGTTCATTGAACGAGTACGGAGACGGAGTTGCGACACATTACGAAAAGGCGTATTACGTTATAATTTTGCAAAACACGTCTGCGCAAGAGAGAGAGAGAGAGAGAGAGAGAGAGAGAGAGAGAGAGAGAGAGAGATCATTCCGTTATTCAACAATATTGCGAGGCGGTACATAACTTGCGCCAAAGCTGTTCATGCTTCTTCAAACGATCCCGTTGATGACAAAGTAGGTTGTGCCTTTTTGCACAATCCATCATCATTCGTATCTCACTTTAGTCTCTTGCTTTAGTCGTGCAATATTCGTTGGAAAAATATTCTCACGACTCGTCGCTCATTTCGACATAGCAAAGTCTTACGAGAACAAAGAAACGAATAGCGTTTCTCGTTACGCCGAGATCTCTCGTCTGAAGACATGCGATTTAATTACGCTTTGTAATTATCGACGTGGCGATTCGTTTGATTCATTGTCTCTCTCTTTGTCTCACTCTTATAATATAGCGTGTTTTTCTTGTTTTGTAAAAAAAAGTAAAGTATACTTTAGAGCGTAATATTGTTTGAGAAACGTGTTGCGCAAAAGCAATATGACGGCAAATCCAAATTGTAAAATTTATATCTGACACGTCGCAAAGAATTTAGTTCAAGTTGATTTTTGTACTTCGATATGTACACAACAATCCTTTCACGCGTTTCTTCATAAGGTTTCTTATAAATTTGCAATTTGTTCTAAAAATTAACGTTGATCTAATCAATTTTCGCTCACATTCTTCGTAAAGTGGAAATATTATGCGGTTGACAATTTTTTCGCAATAAAAATGAAGTTCATGTACGCGTGGCTTACTGTTTGTACGCTTGTTAAAACCGATAAGTTACAATTTCTCATGCAATTATTTATACCATGATATAGCGATTATTTCTATCAGTAACAGTTCTATCGATTGCGAATGCAATTATTAATGTACACTAGAACATTGTGCAACGCTTTACGCTTTACGTTCTCCAGTGACATGATTTTCCTTTGACGCTGATTACATAGTGACAGATTCATGTGCTCAAAAAAGAACGTTTGGTGAGAGAAATATAATTGTGTTGACATAAATATTATAGTCATGAAAAAATACATGTTTGTCAATCGAGACATGCAAGTATCGATACATCAGATACCCACACACGTGTGTGTATGTACATTTATTGTGATTAAAGTTACAATTATTGTACATACCTTATTTTTAACTTAAAAATTAACTTAAAATTTATACTTACAAATTACTTAATCATATATATATATATGTGTGTGTGATTAAGTAATTTGTAAGTATAAATTGTAAGTTAATTTGTAAGTGTGCGTATGTGTAAACATAAAAACATTCAGTTATTAAAAACATTTTTATATTATTTTATATTATATTTTTTTGTTATATTTGTCGCAGGTCCATACACCATATTCATCCCTACGGACAAGGCTTTCAGAACGTTACTGGTGCAGCTGGGAGGACCAGAGAAAGCTGAGCAGAAGTTCCATGACAATCCGAGGCTTCTAAGTGGGGTACGCGCAAGTCATTAATAATTTATCTACTTAATGGTAGATTTCACTGAAATCAGACAGCTAATTCCACTAATTTATCGTTGTTTTCAGCAATGAAAAATAAACATACAAAGTAAAAAGGTTTTAATTAAATAAGATAAATACTGTATAGAAATTTAATATTAAAACACAAAAATGTGTGTACACGCACTAACGAGAATCTCTTTTACGATAGCTTCTTCTTCATCATGTTATACCGGGAGCTTTCAGGATCGAGTCCCTTCAGGACGAGATGACCGGCGTCAGCCTTGCTGGGACGCAACTACGAGTAAACGAATACGCGATGCAGGATCACGAATGGAATGATATAAAAGTAAATTTATATTTTTTTTAGAATTGTTTAATTTGAAGTACATCAGAAAAAGAGAGAAAAGAACTACACATTCTTTTCATTTCTAACTTTGTGTTATTCGCAAGGTGACGACAATAAACGGGGCACGCGTCGCGTCTAACAAGCGGAACATTGAGATACCTCAAGGTATCGCTCATGCTGTTGACAGAGTCATGTTTCCGCTTCCGGTTGGCGATTTAGTGCAAACTCTCCAAGCTGACCGTGAGAGGAGGTTTACCACGTTTCTCAAAATACTTCACGCGTCAGGATTAGAGGATACGCTCGCAGGTATCAAGAATGTTGAAAATTCGAAAACATTTTTTGTAACTTGTGCTCGTCTTCTCTATTTGTTATTTGTAAAATTAAAAAAATTAAAACTTACTTACCGATAGAGATTATTTTGAATCTTGAGTTTATTGTTCTCATTTTAAGCAAATAAAATGTTTTCTAGGTCCGAAGACGTTTACCATCTTCGCGCCGACTGATTCTGCTTTCACCGATGCGTCCACAAAGAACGGCGCCCCAATTTGGATCGAGGAGGACGGTCCGGAAGCGGCAAAGACAATTATCTCACGGCACGTGGTTCCCACGACTCTTTACACCGCGGGAATGAGATATTATATTCAAAAGGACTCACTTCGTCCGCAATCGCCAATTCATATTCACAAAAACGGCGGTAAGTATATATAATTCGAATAATAACGTTATTTTATTCACTCCCGCGCGGTTTTTCCTAATTATTCGAATATGAATTTAAATCATTTTTCTTTAAACCATGATACTTCTCTCGTTTTCATATAAAATCATATAAAAAAATATGTTAAAATATATATAAAACTGATGCATATTTATATATCACATATATACAGGGTGTCCCAGAATTGGTGTGAAATGAACGTCAGTGAACCGCGCGGAGCGCTCACACACACACACACCAGGCGCGTGGCTCACTGACGTGCGCCTGGCTAAAAGTCGGCGCTGATTGGCCTGATTTACTCAATAATTACTCCTTTATTATGAATAATAGAAAAAAATAGTTCAGAACTTTTCGACTCAGTTTTACTCCTTCTACCTGCCTACGAGAGATGTCACACCAATACTGGGACACCCTATATATATATATAAGTAAATAATTTCTAAATATGTATTATTGCTTCAGGACGAGTACGAATAAACGAGGCGAACGTTGTAACACATAACATCCCAGCAACCAATGGAGTATTACATGCTATTGACGGCATTCTATAAACCGAAAAATCACATAGTAATTAAATAGATATAAATTGATAATCGAATTGCAGCATATATATGTTGCGACCACACACATACACATACACATACACACACATGCGTACGCGAATGATATTGCTTGTAACTGTAAAAAATATATAACCGTATAAATATGTATAAATTTTCTATAACTGCGATTTGATGTGTGAAAAAGAAGATTAAATTGCGACGTATTCAAAGTTATTAGCAAGTCTGCCGCATCGCGTTCACACACGTCACAAATTAATACGTTATGCCATAAGCGTCACGAAATTAGAAAAACCGAGTAACGAAACCATTTTTTTTTCTTTTTTTTTTTTTGAGAACATACGTATATATGTATATACATACCATAATTTATGTAACATATATATACATACATATCAGAGAGGTGCACTTGTCGTGCCATGTGCACAAGTACGGATAATTAATCGTTAGTTTGTAGAATAATAAACATAAGTAACATGCTCTCTTATTATTATACTTGTAGTTCGTATTATTTTATAAATAAATGTACAGAATTTACTTCTATGATTATATATATATACAAACATGTTATCCGACTTCCTTAAACTATATACATATAATCAGAGTACATATATATTTCAATACTTTTCTTTATGCGATCAGCCATTTTTAATTCGCGGATACTCGTTTCTGCGGAAAAAAAAGAATTTTTGATCAATGGTAATCTATTTATTTTACAATAAGATGATTAATAATTTGTCTTGTATTTCTTGATCTCTGACGTTATGTGATGAATATTCGTGAGTTGCGTGCGCGCGTTCTGCGGTAGAATCTTGTGCAGACGTTGGTAATAGCGTATCAATTGCGCCACTGTGCGCTGCATCAATCCGCTGCCGAGTACCAAATTGGGAAATGAAGATAACACTTCCTTGTGTATTTCTTCTAGCGCCCGTTTCCAATTATTCGTAAATGATTGCACTAATGCCAACGCTTTTCCCTCCTGTCGTTTCAAATCGTCAGCCTGACCCTTCTCAATCAAAGCTTCCGATTCTTTTACCAACTGAATTATACCGCCGAAGTGCGGACTCAAAATCTCTTCGACATATTCGGAGGAATGCGCCTCTAAGTACTCCCGAAAACTTTCCGCTTCCTTCGAATTATCACGCGTTCTTTCCTGAATTAAATACAACAACCTTTTTTTATACGTACAAATTTTTTTTTTTTACGTTGAGTATATGATTATATTTACCATTAATACTCCAAGTACTACATCGTAATTATTGATAAGAAAGACTAGTTGCTGCGTCCGATTCGGGAAAATGCCTGCCATTCTTAGTAAAAAGCATCGTATAGCTTCTCTCAGTTCTGCCAGCAATTGAGTTGCTCCTTCGCAAGGATATCCTTCGTGCATTACACTTACCATAGCTGCGCTAAATTCTGCGTATCTTCTGGTAATCTACAAATTCAAATAAAATTTCGACAATTTTCTATCAAGTGTTTTCTTTACATTTAAATACTTACATAATGAGGACCGGTCTCTTTGTTGACCGGATCGCAATCTTTTATACTCTTTATGTTCAATTGAAATACATATTCAAATCTAAAAGACAGACACGATTAATTTGCAATATCTATCGTATAAAATATTTAAAAAAATAGCTTTGTAACTAAATTTCAATTTAAAGTAGATACCTAGGCCGGATTATGTTTGTCAAATCATCCCAGTATTTATCCAATGCTGGTACGGCTCGTTTGTGACACATCAACTGATAGCGCATAACCAGATGCAAGCAGAGAAACAGAGCAATAGTATCGTAACAGTCATCGACATACGACTTTAAATTTCTTATTAAGAGTTCTAACGTCTTTCCCATGACCTGTTGAGGAAGAAAAACAATACAGTTCATTTATTTAGTTAATTTTGCACAAATATTATTTATAAACTGTATAAATAATTGTACCCGATTGAAAATATCCAATGCTTGTGTTTTACAAACTTTGAAGAAATCAGTCAGAAATAAATACTCTCTGCAAGCATTATCAGCCACAGCATACTGCTCGCTTCTGAACAGTGCTTCGTAATGATACTGTAAAAATTATAATATTCATAAAGATGTGTTTTGAAAAACGTATGTATTAATCGGAACTCACTGGTGTCTTGGAAGCAGAATGTGGCACAATAATGGGTGCTGTTAATTGAGAAGTTAAAACCTCGCCTCTTGTGTCTATAGAAAAAACTGTTCCTTTGTGCTTTAAAGTTGTTTTATGAAATAATCCTCTGCTTGATGTGTTTTCAACTCCCATTAAATCATCTTTTGTTGGTCTTTCCTCAAACTTGTAAGAAATATTACACTGTATATGTTTCTCACTTTCTTTAGATATTAGTACTTCTGCTTATTTTTACCTGTAATTTCATCAACCTTGACGAATAAGATTTAAAATATGAATAATATATTTTGCTCATAGTATCGATATACTCTCCACAAATTTCTTCTGCCACAGCTCTGTCATTTGCCATAATAAATTCAAAGAAAAATTTGTATTTCAGCATGTTATTCTGTGGCACTTGATAATTTGTCATGGGTTTCCTAAATTTATAAATTTGCTCCAATAAGTAGGTCCTAATTTTTGCCATTGCCTTTATTTTTAGTTTCTCTAATATATCCTTCACATCTAAACAAGATTTTGTCTCCTTAAAACTTTGCTCCTTTACAAAGTTAATTTTATGATTGAGAATCTCTAGTTGTGTCAAAAATTCCTTATCAGTTACAGAACAATCCATAATACCACTGCAAAAAATCATGATTTTTTATTACATTTAAAAGAATTTTTTTCTTTAGTTGTCAACTAAATATTTCTTACGCAATCAGGGCTTCAGACACAGTCATGTCCTCAATGAATTGACTAAGATATGGAAGTATAACCTGTCTGTTAGACCTTTGCTGGTGCATAGAGACAGATTTGCGTTGCAAATACAGTATCTCAGAACTGATATTTCCTAAGTCTGACTGAAAGTTCATCAACATCGATTCCATTTTCTGTAAAATATAGAAATTACTACTACATCTTAAAATATGTGTAAAATGTTTGCAATTTTCTGAACAATATGTCAACCTTATATACTTGAAGAAATGTCAAATTCTAACATTCTTACCTCTAATATATTATCACAAGCAGCTATCTGATTATGCAAACTAGCAATATTTTGGCTTTCTTTTATATAGTCTTGGATTGACTTATTCTCAACTTCCTTGAGTTCCTTCTCGATTTGCCTAGAGTATTGACGTAAGTCTGTGCCTGTTTTGAGAACTTCTTGAACAACATCATCACCAAGATCATGGGGAAGTTGTCCATCATTATTATCAAAAATATCACACATTTTTATAAATCTGTCAATACTTAATCTAGACAATTTAATTCTTCAAGTAAATATTCGTTTCTATGAAAATGTTCTCAATCACAGGACACTTAAGGTATCTTTTCATATACGCACCATGCATATATATGATACTTCTATATTGCTACCAGAGAGAAGACTGAGAGCGGCCATGCCATTGTTGTTTTTTACGACGGTTTCCAGCCGCTACTTTCAACGCCGGGTTCCACTTTGCGTGGAGCTCGCGAACTACGAAACGAGTTCCACTTTTAGGCGCATACGATAAAAATGTATCTCGGTTAGAGTCCGTGCTAAATTCACTTTCATTCGGTTTGAATTCGTGCTACTGTCGATAAGTAGAACTGCCAACCATCGAGAGCATCGGTGATGGAGGCAAGCACACAAACGAAACCGTGTCCGTGTTGCGTGACGCCAACGACATGAATGAATGTCATGATGACATGATGTCTTCAACGTTGAGAGAGACAACATACTTTGAATAGTAACTCTTTCTCTGTCTATCAATGTCTGTGGTGGGATCAGAGCCTACTATTTTATACCACCTAACCTACCATCACCCCTTAATCTCTTTCACTCTACTTCACCCCCACTATTTTTCTACCCCCACTTTTCACCTACTATTCTATCAATCAGCGAAGACTTCTTTTTCCCTCACTACTTCGCTAGACAAAGATGAGGCTACTGTTCAACACCAGCTGTCTCTCTCAACGTTGAAATCATTTTCTTAACATAGCAAAGGTAGGGGACGCGCAGTCTATATATTATAAGTCTATGCACGAGTCCAAGTGTCAAATCGACACCTGACCCTAGCTTCTCTCCGCAGTCTTCTCTCTGCTAAAATACAAAATCATAAAACTCAAAAACAAAGTAAACACGAAAAGATACAGATAATATAATAACCACGAAAAGAAACTAGATACCATAATAAATAGAAACACACAAATAGATACTATACTAAACACGAAAAAATTAGATAATATAATAAACACTAAAGATAATAAACAAAGTTAAGGTCTATTATCTTTCGCAAAATAATGATATTCTACAGCTTTGCAATTTCTGTCGCAATTCAAGCGTCAATTTTGACGCACACAGAGTAACCAAAACTGTCGCTTTAATAAAATTTGAAACATCGAGAACAAGTGACTTTCACAAACTAACTAATACGTTAAGTAAAATCATTTTTTATCGATATAACATACTGTTCAAAACTTTAATTTTACAATCACCAAACATAATAACTTTCCTATTTCTTTTTAACTTTTCACTGAAAACTTTGAGACTAACTGTTATAAAATCTTCTTGTAAAAAAACATTTATATTACTTCACTTTGCATTTCCAGTGTGTGTATCTTTATTCCATATATATCACCATCTTTTAAACCACGAAATTTATTAACCTTGTATGCTCGATATTTCAAAATTTGTAAAATCGACCGCTACGAAGAAAGCAACCAGACAAAACTTATCATCATGAATATGTGACTGATATGTCACGTAACATAACCGATCTATAAAACCTAAGTAAACTGCTTTTAAAATAGATACTTCTTTCCCGCACACATTAGAACAAATGCGCAAATACACATAAACGTACGTATATGTACTACTTATGCACGCATGCGAATAGTGCACGACCGACTACAAACTACTACATCCAACACAATCGTGCATACAATGCATGCACGTATTGCACATATGTTTCTGCAGCAACACATATACTTACACAGCCTTCACACATAAATAAAACACGCAAAATTTTTTTTTTTTTTTTTTTACGAGGAAAAATGCCCGCGCACACCCTGATCTCTTCTGAGGGATCACCATATCCCAGAAAAAAGATCAGGGTAGTGTGGGACTCGAACCCACTAAAAAACCTCGGGAATCGAACGCAAATGGAAATCGCACGCAAATAAAAATCGCACGCAAGTAGGAATCGCTCGCATATGGGAATCGCACGCAAGTAGGAATCGCTCGAAAAAGGGAATCGCACGGATATGGGAATCGCACGCAAGTAGGAATCCCTCGCAAAAGGAAATCGCACGCAAGTAGGAATCGCTCGCAAAAAGGAATCGGACGCAAATGGGAAACGCACGCATAGAAAAATCGCTCGCATATGAAAATCGCACGCAAGTAGGAACCGCTCGCAAAAGGGAATCGCACGCATAGAAAAATCGCTCGCATATGGGAATCGCACGCAAGTAGGAATCGCTCGCAAAAGGGAATCGCACGCA